TAGGATGACAGTTATCATGGGGGTGGGGTGACAATTATTGGTGTGACAGTTATCAGGGTGACGTTGGGGACGGTGACAGTTATCACTGGGGTGGGGTGACAGTTATTGGGGTGACAGTTGGGGTTGACAGTTGTTGGGGTGACAGTTCTTGCTGGGGTGACAATTATTGGGGTTGGGTGACAGTTACTGGGGTGACATTGTTGGGGTTGGGGTGACAGGTTTTGGGTTGGGGTGACTGTTGTTGGGGTGACATTGTTGGGTGACATTGTTGGGTGACATTGTTGGGGTTGGGGTGACAGGTTTTGGGTTGGGGTGACATTGTTGGGGTTGGGGTGACTGTTGTTGGGGTGACATTGTTGGGTGACATTGTTGGGGTGACAGGTTTTGGGTTGGGGTGACATTGTTGGCGACGGCAACAGTTATTGTCGGGGGGGGGACTGTTTTTGGTTGGGGTGGCAGTCCTTGGGGGTGACAGTTGATGGGGTTGGGGTGACGCTTATTGTTGGGGTGACGGTTGTCGGGGTGCCGCTTTTTGGGGGTGCCATTTTTTGGGGGTGCTTTTCCTGACCCTGCCCTCAGATTTTCAATGGGGACTTCGTGGACCGCGGCTCGTTCTCGGTGGAAGTCATCCTCACCCTCTTTGGGTTCAAGCTGCTCTACCCCGACCACTTCCACCTCCTCAGGGGTAACAGCGGCCGTGTCCCCGGTGTCCCCGTGTCCCCATGGCCCAGCATGGTGTCCCCGTGTCCCCCTGTCCCACTGCGGTGTCCCCTGGCGTCCCCGTGTCCCCAATCTGGGTTGTGTCCCCCATCCCCATGGCCCAGAGCGATGTCTCCACGTCCCAAACTGGGCTGTGTCCCCCTGTCCCACTGCAGCGTCCCCGTGTCCCCATGGCCCAGGATGGTGTCCCCATGTCCCTAATCTGGGTTGTGTCCCCATGTCCCCATGGCCCAGCATGGTGTCCCCGTGTCCCCCTGTCCCACTGCGGTGTCCCCTGGCGTCCCCAATCTGGGTTGTGTCCCCATGGCCCAGGATGGTGTCCCCATGTCCCTAATCTGGGTTGTGTCCCCATGTCCCCATGGCCCAGAGCGATGTCCCCATGTCCCAAACAGGGCTGTGTCCCCCTGTCCCACTGCAGTGTCCCCATGTCCCTATGGCCCAGCATGGTGTCCCCGTGTCCCCCTGTCCCACTGTGGTGTCCCCTGGCGTCCCCAATCTGGGTTGTGTCCCCATGGCCCAGGATGGTGTCCCCATGTCCCCAATCTGGGTTGTGTCCCCATGTCCCCATGGCCCAGAGCGATGTCCCCATGTCCCAAACTGGGCTGCGTCCCCCTGTCCCACTGCAGTGTCCCCGTGTCCCCATGGCCCAGCATGGTGTCCCCATGTCCCCAATCTGGGTTGTGTCCCCCATCCCCATGACCCAGAGCGATGTCCCCATGTCCCAGTGTCCTACAGTGGTGTCTCCTGTCTCCAATCTGAGCCGTGTCCCCATGGCCCACGATGATGTCCCTATGTCCCAGTCTGAGTTGTGTCCCCTGTCCCCACATCCTAGGGCAGTGTCCCCATGTCCCCATGTCTCACAGCAGTGTCCCCATGTCCCCGTGGCTCAGAGCTGTGTCCCCTGTCCCCAGTCTGAGCTGTGTCCCCATGGCCCAGGGCAGTGTCCCTATGTCCCCAGTCTAGGTTGTCTCCCCTGTCCCCATATCCCACTGCAGTGTCGCCATGTCCCCATTCTGAGCTGTGTCCCCATGTCCCCATAGCCCAGAAAGACGTCCCCTGTCCCCATGTCCCCATTCAGGGCTGTGTCCCCCTGTCCCCATAGCCCAGATCGATGTCCCCTGTCCCCATGTCCCCATTCAGGGCTGTGTCCTCATGTCCCCATAGCCCAGAATGACGTCCCCTGTCCCCAAGTCCCCATTCTGTGCTGTGTCCCATGTCCCCATAGCCCAGAACGACGTCCCCTGTCCCCATTCATGGCTGTGTCCCCATGTCCCCATTCTGTGCTATGTCCCCATAGCCCTGAATGACGTCCCCTATCCCCAAATCCCCATTCTGGGTTGTGTCCCCATGTCCCCATAGCCCAGAAAGAAGTCCCCTGTCCCCATGTCCCCATTCAGGGCTGTGTCTTCAGGTCCCCATAGCCCAGAACGACGTCCCCTGTCCCCAAGTCCCCATTCATGGCTGTGTCCCCATGTCCCCATTCTGTGCTATGTCCCCATGTCCCCATAGCCCAGAATGACGTCCCCTGTCCCCAAATCCCCATTCATGGCTGTGTCCCCATGTCCCCATAGCCCTGAATGATGTCCCCTGTCCCCATGTCCCCATTCATGGCTGTGTCCTCATGTCCCCATAGCCCAGAACGACGTCCCCTGTCCCCATGTCCCATTCTTTGCTGTGTCCCCATGTCCCCATTCTGTGCTATGTCCCCATGTCACGCGAGCCCCGAATGACGTCCCCTGTCCCCATGTCCCGTTCTGTGCTGTGTCCCCATGTCCCCATAGCCCCGAATGACATCCCCTGTCCCCATGTCCCCATTCATGGCTGTGTCCCCATGTCCCCATTCTGTGCTGTGTCCCCATGTCCCCATACCGCCCCCACGCCCCCCATCCCCGCTGTTCCCCCACCCCCCACATCCTGGCTGTTCTCCCCTCTCCCCCCTCGACCCCCCATCACCTCCCTGCCCCCGCAGGGAACCACGAGACGGACAACATGAACCAGATCTACGGCTTCGAGGGCGAAGTGAAGGCCAAATACACGGCGCAGATGTTTGCACTCTTCAGCGAGGTCTTCGAGTGGCTGCCCCTGGCGCAGTGCATCAATGGCAAAGTGCTGGTGAGGGTCCTCCCCCCCATTCCCCCCCATTCCCCCGCCCCGTGTGATCCCAAAAGCTCCGGGGACAAACTATGGGGTGGAAGGGACCAGTGTGGCATGGCTGCCCCGTTCTGGGTGTCCCTTCATGTTCTGGGTGTCCCTTCCCATTCTGGGTGTCCCTTCATGTTCTCGATGTCCCTTCCCGTTCTC